TTAACACGAAAGTATATCCAAAGGGGTTAACTCCCTTCAACGAGTTCGCAAAATAACTCCTAGTCAATGGGAGGAGCTCGTGGCTCAGAAGACTTCAGCGGAGGCATTGGAGCTCAGTGCTCGTAACACCGAGCTAGCGAAGAGGAACAAACACCACCATCATCTAGGCCCCGGTGGCTACTATGCCAAGGAAGAGCGGTTTAGAAAGATGGATGAAGAGGCGCAATGGCTTTGGGAATATCGATGTGACGAAGTTGAAGGTACGCTCAAGGAACTGGATATATGCGAGGAGTCTGAGAACCATCCGGCGGTAATCTTAAGTTTGATAAGCCGGAGACCCAAGAGGCGGTATCAAGGATCTTGAAATATGTGAAGACAAAGAGAAGGGCTCATTCAATCCTTCGAGAGAGAGAGGGACGAGCTTAGCCTTGGCTTGGGAAACAAGAAGCACACATGCCGCACTGAGGGGCTAGGGAAAAGGATGACTTGGAAGCAAGGATTCAAAGAGGACAGCACATGTACAAGAAACATGGCCGAGACCAGGAGACTAGTCTTGAGCTCCAAGTGAAGGCTCTCTCTAGTTGAAGGTATTTGGAGGAGCAAGGAATGTCTATGGAGCCACGTATATTAGTGACGCCCCGGGAGAGGCGGCATTAGTTGGCAGCCCTCCGAAAGTTCCTAGCAGCCCAAGGTTCCACTGCAGCCATAACCTTAGTCGATCTCATACGAGAACCTACTAGTTGCACCTTGGTGTTTCTCGTGCCGGCAGAACAACGTGATGTGATGGAGGTGGCAACGGTGTTGCACATCCTCCCGGTGGCTTACACCACAATAATAACATACCGCCGGACTACACTAGGGTCGAGGTGCATACAGTGAAGCCGAGTTCATGCGGTGGAGGATAGACTATGCAACTCCCGAGGGGTGGTGTTACTCGGAGACGTTATGGGCGCGATTCATCCTCTCCGCACAAACGGGACATTATATTGATCGCTTCTTCGCCGTCTCCCCCTCTCCCAAATTTGGAGCGAGTTGTTGAGGCCGGGAGATATTTTCACCGTCTCGTGACCCCCACATTCACGAGATGCCACATTCTTCCCGCCTCCCTATCGAGCATGTGCACGATGAGATGCCACAACCTTCTCTAGCTCGTCACCGGGCAAGTGCATCATGAGATGCCACAGTCTTCTCAACAAGCACAACCGATACATGAACAACGAAAGTGCCCTCTGAAGAAGGTGATGCACAAGAAGATGAGGACGTGCTCGAATGGGAACTCCGAAGAAGATTCCAATCCACATAAGGCCGGTTTATGTTCCGATCAAAGACGCGTCTCGTCGGTGTCCAAGTGGTATTCCCATGATCGGTTCAAGCACGAAAACCAAGTTAAAAAGTCCCATCACGGGGTTACGAGGAGGCCACAAGAGCAAACTTCACCAAATTGCAAAGCGGTATCCAAATGTTGATGCCATCGAATGGTCAAAGGATTGCCGAAAAAAAATATGAAAGAGGCAAGCCCTTCCTACCAAAACGGGACATCCAACGCCTACCACTTGGAATGAGAAGGTTCCATGATTGGTACTTGCGTGTTCTCCCAACGAGCATAGATATCATACAAGCATGCTTTCCACCGGCACATTTGGAAGCCCAGTAGGAAAATTGTCTTTGACTTCAATGACATGCACACATGCTTTCACACAGGAGAAATGGAGATGAATCTAATTCGCACGTGGTGCCTGTAAGTCCTTGTCCTCCGATATGATATGAATGTAATCTTTGAATTTTGTTGTAACTAACCCACGCCGTGATTTGTAGAATGCAAGTGCACATTGTCAAACAAATGCCAAGTGTGAAAACCGGGTATGTAGACCCTCAAGCTATAGCCCAAACAAATTTTAATTACCCTAAGCGGTGGACCTTTGGATGCCAAAGAGCTAGCATTTGCAAAGACTCTTCGGAGAAAGAGCGCATCCAGTAGTCTTGAAGCTAAGGGAAGAGTCCCTTAAGGTTACGGCATACATTGCTCGGCTTTCAAAAATCTCCAACAATACTCTACTATATGGCTACCATACAACTTCGAGTAAGTTCAACTATAACTTAAAGCTATGTTCGATATATTTTATTCGATGTAAAAGAGCTTATCTAGTTCTATGATTAAATCCATGCAAAGCAAACCATTGGATTTGTATAGCCGTCGATGTCGGAAGAGCATGGCATGGGTCTTTGATTCAATAGATAAGGACCCGACGACATACAAAGACTTCATATCGATTCTCAAGACGTATACATATCGACAATCCTCATTAGCTTATATGTCTGTATACATACTTGTAACGTTCACTTATGCATACTAACAAGTTGTATTTGCTAAAATAATTCGAACAGGGCATTTAGGTTCTATGTCTCTCATCATCACGGAAGGCATGATCCAACGAGGAAGGAAAAGCTGGCTATAAAAACACTATGTGCGGTAAGTGTAACTTACTTCTTCAGTACTCCGTTACATGGTTGTCAAAAGCATTACCTAATATTTTCATATGCAAAACACACAGTGCCCCAAGCAGAGGCCTGGGAGTGTACATTGTGGATACTATATATGTTCTATGATGAGTAACACCGGTGCCTACAGGAGACACCCCTTAAGGATAAGTTTGAACCTCTTCACCCGTAGTATAAAAACTTCATAAATGGTATGAAATAATAGACTGAAACTTGTTTTCTTGTAGTGGAGAGAAGAGAAAGGAATGAAAAGAGACCCATACAAGGATGACCAACTCTTAGAGCTCGTCGGCGACCTTTGCAACTTCATATTGGACCAGATTGTATACGTCAGAGGCGCCTACCATGATCGAGAGTTGACTTAGGTACAAATCCTCAGTACCAACACCTTCGTGAGACTGAAAGGCTAGCTCTAGGACGTTGATAACAATGTGTATGAAATTTGTATATTTAATGATGCATTGTATATATATATCATTACGAATTGGACTTGTAATTGTATTTTATATAATACTATTGTGCTTGTAGTCGCGTTCGGAACGTTGGTCGCGTGGCGTTCGGCAACGCGGATGCTGGATGGAATACGCAGAAACAAACAGTTCTGGTCGAATTTGAATTGTAAATTTGAATTTTTTTTGCGGAAAAACGTACTGTAGGGGCGGTTCTAGATTGAACCGCCCCTACAAATAGGTATTATAGAGGCGGCTGGCACTACAGCCGCCCCTACAAATAGATTTGTAGGGGCGGTTCGTAATACCAGCCGCCCCTACAAATCTATTTGTAGAGGCGGCTTAATCACCAACCGCCCCTATAAATCTATTTGTAGGGGCGGCCTGGGAACCGCCCCTACAAATACATGATTTGTAGAGACAATTCGGTAGGGACGGCTGGCCAAACCGTCCCTACAAAAGGTTATCAGCCGCCCCTAAAAATGCTTTTTTAGTAGTGTGAGCGCCGCACGCCCCGTCTATATCGAGTCTCGCCCGTGATCCTTCCGTAATTAGTTTTCTCCGGTCATGCCAAGGGTCGCCTCGCCCGCAAGTCGTCCGGCAAAAGTGAAAAGAAATTCAATCACCAATTACTCCTCCATCACAAGAATCACATCCTTAATCACCGCATGCATGCGATCCACATCCGCCTCCTCCTATTTGTTGCGCCCCCCATCAACATCGCGTCCCACCCATGGTCCCCATCGCATGAAAACACGCGCAGGCTTTGACCCACGTGAAATCCTTCCATCCACATGCAACACAGTATGCATGCCGTTATTTTTTAGATACATGTCGCTGCGCATGCATACATAATAAAATGAAAACTAATTTAGGTTCCATTTGGCAGGGCTTCACTTCACCAGTGAAGCTATTTTTTTTTGGCTTCAGCTCTATGAACAGTTTCACCGGTGGAGCTGAAGCGGTTTTGGTAAACCGTTTGGTAAAATGGCTTCCCTGTGAGAGCATGTTTTTAGGGGTCTGAAGGAGGAGTCGGGAGAAGCCACTTTTTTTGCTCCATCCCACCTCAAATCACTGTGAGAGCATGTTTTTAGAGGCTTCACAAGTGAAGCTATTTTAATTTACCCCGTTTGGTAGAAAACGGCTCCAAACGACTCCTGAAGCCGGTGAAGAAGCCCTGCCAAACGGGGCCTTAATTTGTGTGTGCGCATGAGCTCAGCATCGGCGACCTCCACGTCACTCCATGGCATTGAGCTCCGCGTTGGTGTCGAGCTCCGTATGTTTCATGTGTTTCAGATGTATGTTTCATTTGGATGTTGCATGTGTTTCATTTAGATGTTGCAAAATTAGATCTGGTGTTGCATATGTTGCAATGCATATACACATATGTTGCGAGTGTATGTTTTGACTGTTTCAGCTGTTTTCAGACGTATATTGTAAGTGTTTTTATCTGTATGTTGCATGGTTATACACATGTTGCAAGTGTATGTTTCCTTGTTTCAGACGTATGTTGTAGCAAGTGCTTTATGTTGCGAGTGTTTTCATTAGTAGACGTGGGAAGCGCGCGCATGCGGAGTGTGTTCATCTAGATGTTGCATATGTTGCAATGACTATACACGTATGTTGCAAGTGTATGTTTCAGCTGTTTTAACCCTATGTTGCAAGCGTTTTATTTGTATGTTGCATATATTGCAGTGGCCATACACATATATTGCAAGCGAATGTTTTACCTGTTTTAGAGGCATGTTGTAGGTTGCATCAAGTGCTTCATGTTGCAAGTATTATCATTAGGGGAAATGCCAAGTTCAGCTCATTGTTGACAAACACTCTATCAAGCCGAGAGCACAGGGACCAGTTGGCCGTTCATCCAGGTATATTTCTTATTAATGAGTTTGAGCTCCTGAACACCTAAGCTATGGATGGCATTGTTGAAGGCAGACATAAGGGAGGTGGAAACGTTGTTGTTTTTGTCATTGGCAAACCTCACAAGATTGAAGTCGCCAGCCAGCATCCAAGGACAGTGAATTTGAGACAGTAAATCCAGCAGGTCCTCTAAGAAATCCGCGAATCCCAGTGATCAGAGGGAGCATAAATATTAGTTACAGCCAGACGTAGGTCAGAGAAGTTGGAAGAGAAGAAAGTGGTGATGGAGTATCGTCTCTGAATGGGAGCCTCACATGAGAGAGCAGCGTCGTCCCAGGCGGCCACGATGCCTCCCCTGGAGTCCGAAGCGCTATTGTATCTGAACGAGTTGGACAGTTTTAGAGGGAGGAAGGTTTTTGCTTTCATGGTTGAGATATCTTGGAGCTTTTAGACTCCTGATGAATGCACGCCACCGAAGGAGCAGCGGCATGAAGCGCATCGCGAACAATGGTACAATTATGTTGCCAATCCCACGAACATTCGAAGACAAGATAGAAATAGAACGAGCATTAGACCCCATTACTAACAGACAAGGCACCTAAGCAACTAGTGACACGAGGTGACAGCAGTTGACAATCCCACCAACGGCAAAACACGTCGGCAAGAGAGTAAACTGGCAGCGACCAACACCACATAGAACACGAGACTGCGTTCAAAAAAAACATAGAACACGAGACAGACCAGGACACAACACACTCTGCCACTGCAACTAAGACAAACTTAAGGAGTTTAGGTAAGGCAGCAAACACAGACCGGCCGAAAGACAGGAGCAGCTGCGAGACTCCATGTCAAGTCACCTGAAGAACAATTCGGTCCTCATTCTGCAACATCAGTGACCACTCCTAGGGAGGCCGGCGAACAGCAGCTGAGACCCGCTGAGGAAACAAACTTGCGCACGTCCGAAACGTTGATTGGAAGCTTATTGCGACATAAAATGCACCTTTTGTTGACCTGCTTCTTCAGAGAAGCCGAACAGCCAGACAGGGATTGAGCACAGCCTTGCGCTGAGAAGCTTTTGCAGTCATCAGTGAAGTTTGCAGAAGCCTTGGCCGCCAACCTCGCACTGTGGCGCTCAGGCACCGCAACAGGGGTCGTCTCCTTTACATAATTACATTCAAGCAGATAGATTTAAAACAACGTAGCACAGTGCTGACAGGCTGATAGTAAAACAGCCACGAACAAGCAATGGCAGCTGTACCGGAATTGACAATGACCATTTTGCATTTACAGAACCTTTCAAAACTTATGAAGTTACATGGCTATGGTGTACTTACTATCTCTTACAAAGCGAGTTGGGTTAAGGGAGCTCTCAGGGCAGCTTTCTTATATTTTACAGAAGGTAGAGCTGCTCACAGAGATGTTTCCCATGTCAAAAACACAAACAAGGGCCATCTAATATCTAAATCAGAGGATCTGAAACCTAACAATCTATAATAGGTTGGACTGGATTGGTGATGCAGCATCACAAAGTCGATCACGAGTCAGATGGCTCGCATTTCACCGGTGTCTTGATGGGAACCACTTCCGTGGCTGCAGGCTTGGCATTTTGATCGCTGCTGAGGCTACTGGCGACGACCAGATCGCTGACAACATCAAAGTTAAGTCGTCCGCTAACTTTCTTCCCACTGGACATATTGCAAGTAAATCTGGACATCAGTTATCTGTTGTTGGAAACTGAATGAGCAAACCTTTAGTGAACTATTCTTTTTCTAATTTTACCTATTTAGGCGGTTATTGATAGCCTTCAGGTCCTTGGAGGGGCTTTGAAATGCATAGGTACTCTCGCCAACACATGCATAGTAGCTCTTTGAGCTTGGGAGAGCAAAGTATCCATCTGCAGAGTACAGTTATAAAGTTGTCACGGCATTGATGGAGAATTACCAAAATAGTTCAGTCAGGTGAAATTGAAAAGATACACGACAAATTGACAGGTATTTTACCTTCGATGATCGTAGTGGTGAGACATATACATTATGAGTAGCAGAAACCTTCTTTGGAGACATGTCAGGAAGGTTTGGAAACCGAGCTAGCCGAGGAGATTCTGGGTGTGGACCTACTGATACAATTAAAATATTTCAGCAAAGCCTTTATGGAGTCAGCACTAGAACGATGTGCTTAATTTCTGCATTGGGTGCATACCATCAACAGCACCTTTTTCCTCTTCTTTCTTCGTTGGACTAGCACCAGGTCCTACCTCCACTAACAAAGGCTTGACAGCAGGAATAAATACTTCATTGTAGAAAGTGATAATATCAACATGATCTTCTCCTGTTTTCTGGCAGGATATAATTCAGTCAGATAAACTTTCAACTCATTGCAAAATTCTTAAAAGCTAAAAACAAGATGGAACTTACCCCATTACGGCTTCTTGGGGGCCAATGAACATAAACACTTCGGAAAACTTGTGGCTTGCATTGAGGTTGTTTCCTGTAGCCGAAAATAATCTCCTTGAATGAAAGTTCCAGTTGAGAGATCTGCAAATTGTTGTCAGTAAGAAATTTAATGGTTACAGTAGGAAATACTTTTATCTGTTAATATTGGAACTTCGACAAATTTATAAGGATTTACCTTGGCAACTCCATATATGCTGCATAGTATGATCTGATCAATGTGTCTGTTGAAGAAAAGACCAGTCTGTTGGCTAAGTATTTGCTGGACAAGGGAATATACTCGCTCCAGAACTTGCTGAGAAAGTTGCAGTCTTTCACAGAGACTTCTGATTCTAATGGCTGCGAGTTTTGCTATCTGCAGGGATAGAGGGATATGGCGTGAACAGCAAGCATTTTATCTTCTCACATTAGGATGCATCTGAAGGAACACTTACCTTGCTAAAGAACACACCTATTCCTGTCTCTGCGCATGTTTCACCTCCTGCTGCAGGATTCGGTCTTGTTGGACTGCAATAAGAATAACATAAAGGGAAATTTCCACTTAAGCATCCAGCTGAGGCAAGAGTTCACAAAGAAGTCAGAAAGGAATATTAACCTTGCAAAAGCTGATTGAAGAGGAGGTGGTAACTTTGATTTAATAATGTCCTTCACTGGTGATCGAAATGAATTGCTGTCCACCAGCACATTTCTCCTCTCAGTGCATGCCCTTTTGGGAGACCTGACTTCATCTTTATCTACAGGAAACACAATTAACAAAAAGGATGTTCAATCACTTATTCGCACGCTTGAAAAGTGGAAAAAACAAAGAAATACTGCTTTAAACACTTCAGGAATATGTAATAGGCATTATGCTGAAGGAATGATAAAATGATACCTTGCAAACGGTCCTGTTTTTGGAAGGGAAGAGGCGGCAGGCCACCCAATGAGATATTATGATGTGCTGCAATTGCATCAAGTGATGGCATTGGTTCAGCCAGTAAACCTAACCGGTTTATTTCTACAGACAGTGCCGGCCTAGCAACAATTAAGGAATTGTACATTGATGACCCTTTCTCCCATGCCATGCTTTCTAGCAGCCGTTCCTCAAGAGAATTCAGATGGCGCTTCAACTCTCTTGGGAGTGTATCTTCATGCCGAACAAAACCCTCTATGACTTTACTCAAGTCAAAGGCTGTAATGCCAGTCTTCTCCAACACAGCTGGGAACATCATAGTGACAGTCTTGTGAGTTGCAAGAACTAACTCTGCAGAACATGCTATCATACACCGATGGAAACGTTCATTAGACAAAAGTGATGTAAGATTGTTCCCACTCAAGATCTGTGACTCTGCCCTACACATAGATTCCAGAACCCTATAATATAGCTTAAGGGCTTCCATTTTTCTTTGCTCTGTCCAGATAGCATCCATCCTATTTGCGCTCGCATATTAGTACAGATCCGTTCACCAAAAGAACTGCTCGTGAATATGGCTCCAAGTATAATCCCAGCTCTGTGTGCAATGTCATCTGTTAGATCCTTATCACATGCTGAGAAGAAGCGCAATAGTTCCCCAGAAGGTTTTGATGGAAGGGGAGATACTGTACTCCCGAAGCCACTTGGCAGTTGTCATGGCTGTGCTCACTGGAGTGATAGGAGCCATCTTTGAGTTGCAAAAGCTGTTTCCTTTAGGAGATAGACAAAAACGTGGAGGAGACATTGGATTTGGGCTTGATATTGATTTTGCAGGTGAGGCCATAACATCATACTTTCTCTGAAATACCACGACATACATACAATTTTAAATAATTTAAAAGCTTTCAAGTTATGAAGCAATGGATGAATAAGCTTGCTAGTTAGTATTACCTTTGTGCCTGGTAAATTAATGGCTCCACCTGAAAGGCTTCCACTGCCAAGTAAACTGTCCTCATCATTAGCAAACATGCGCTCATCTAGCTCGCCTTTTGTGTTAATTGCATTTTCATATTCTTTTTCCAGGATTAGCAGACTTGATTTCAATGAGTCTCCCTGAAGCAAATCCTTAAAAACTGTCAAACCTTCTGCAACAAAGAAGAAACCTTAGTGAGACTGTGCAACAGACAAGCTTGTGAAACAAAAACAGTGAATACGAAACATTAAAATCATTCTTGCGTAGCAGGTCTTTACCTGGATCAATGAAAGACAAGTTATCCTGTTGGCATGCTGAAGTAGCTGGGCATGGCTTCTTTTTCAGAATATCCATTATGAGAGTATTTGTCTTCTCCAGTGCTTTGCTCAACTCATCTTCTGAGGTATGATATTTTTCACACAGAGAAGCAATAAGACTGACTCCCCTATCTGACTTCTTACCTGATTCAAACCAATAAATGGACGCATGAGTTTTATGCCACAACTGCTATAACTAGCAGACCATGATTAGCAAACAGCATCTGTCAAATAAGAATTGGTTGCCATTACCAAAGTAGGATGAATCCTTTATATCGAAGTTCCTTAGCCGCACAGGAACATGAATGATAAGTACAGCCTGCAGGCGTGCAAAATAAGCAGTATCCATTACTTTCAAGTTAACTAACAGTATAGTATAGATCAATTGTCCTGCTGCAAGTGAAGAGAAAACACTTGTGAAGATCATAGCAGATGTCCTTACCAACACAGAAACCAGTTCGTTTGTGGATGTCACAAGATCCTTGAATCTGCTGAATGTTTGGATTCTTAGGACTAAAAAGAGCAACCATCCAAAGCGATAATAATCAGAAGCCTCTTGGTTGTTTGATTCTGAAGAATTGTCTGAACACTTGCCATCATTTGACGAGAATAGCTCCTGGTATGCACGCTTGTAGTGCCTGAACCACAGACATGATCACTTAGTCATCAATAGTTAATAATTTGTCCTTTTATAAAGGAAACTATTGATGACGATGAGAAGGAAACAGCAAAGCAGGCAGCAGCATAGAAGTTAATGTACAGTAGATATTATTGCAAATGGTCTTCAAACCAGATTATACATGAAGCTTGAAACCAATTAAGCACCTGCACTGTAGCACAATTTGCTCATATATCGTTGGCCTATTTGAATGGCGTCACAATCCTTAATAATCGTCCATATATACACAATGATTCCGCAAATGGGGATGATTTTAAAAACATCTAAGCTGAATAATGGAATTTTAGCCCACCATTTTGAACTTTCTAAGATACATACGGTTTATGCAGGTTGTACAAAAGAGAAGATAGTTTTGGGATAACAAAAAAAGAACACTGTTATCCCGATATTTATGGTATCACCTTATAGGGGACATAAGAATGCTATAGTAGTACAAGCAGTACAGGATATGCCTGCTCAAGTTATTGTACCAAATATACCTCCAATCCACTGAAACTCAGCATTGCATTTACCAAATGCTCCAATGTGATTTCATTTCAGTCCAGTAAAACTAGCAGTGAATCAACATTCTAGCACAGCAATTTACAAAAACAAAAGCTAGACGTCTTATGCTGAGTAGCCACGTCACACAAGCAAAAGCAATAGAAAGAATAATTTTTTAAAACGCAAAATAGAAAGTATAATTTCACCTGCTTAGCAAGCTTAAATGGACAACATTCGCTTGCAGTTCCTTCAACTGAGCACAAAACAAGGAAATGCATTAATAAGAGAGGAAGCTAAAACATGTTCAATTCTAAAATGGATTCTAAAACAGGGGGAGCATACTAATTGCATAATATACCTCAAGCCTCTTTTCCCAATCTGAACCATATAGGCCAGTCAGAACGTGTGCAACCTTTAAGCAGAACTGTGGCATCTCCTTGAAAAAGTCCACAATGCTACATGGAATCAACAAAACGAATGCAGGGATTAGCCTAAGTGAGAAGTGATTGTTCCTCAACCAAACAAACCTAGCGCGACTCTTACTTCAGCTTAGATGCCCTCAAAATCTGGCAAAGTGAGACACTGCCATCTTCCTTGGACCTCCCCGCTTTGCTGAGCCTTGACACACAGTAAAGAACACAGGCAGACCAGAACCTTTCGATCTCCTCGGGCTATACATAAATCCAATAGGTAGCAGACATAGGTTTTAGCAATACATCATGGTCCTAAAATTGGATGGAAGAAGCACTCTAACTACACCAGAGACAAAGAAAACGCAATCTTACCGATCCGCCGCCCAAGGAAGACACGCTGGACTTGAGGATGTTCTTGGTCTCCTTGAAAAGCTGCATTGCCTGCCTCGTTGTGCTCTCGTCCAGTCCCAGCTTGCTCTGCTCGCCAACAAACAACAGACTTGATAAAAAATTAGGGTATGCGAGAATCAGTTAACAGGAGAACAGCAGCGATAAAATGGAACATCACAAGATTATGCATATCCATTTCCTAAAAATAGAACAAGCAGGACTGCAGGAGTAGTAAATATAAACTCCCAGGTACAGAATCACTAATGATAAAGACATACGAAAGACAGTATGACTCAAATTTAAAGTGTGTAAAACGTTTAATATATTCACTGTAGGGCCACATTCCTAAAAAAAAGTGCGTAAAACAAAATGGAACCTTCAAAAGACACTTCATTTATTCGATTTTGAAAGGATCAGCCACAGATAATAAAAAAAAATACCCCAGTAGACAGCAAAATGTTGGCAGCGAAAGGTGGAAAAACATAAATTTTCACACATCACAAGGAAACCGAAAAAATTGGATCGGAATGGTTCCTTTATCTTCAAAATGAAATTCGAAGGATTAAAAGGGCGAGAAACCAGAAAAGCTGACACATCCCCCCACCCCCCAAAAAAATAGAAGATGCAAAACCAAAGGGGAGCGCCAGATCCAGCCCAAATTAAACTCCAAACAAGAAAATCCGCCCAAATCTTCAATCTTCCATGATTTTTTTTCACGTAGCAAACACACACGAAGCAGCTCAAAGACATCACCACTAGGGGGAAAAAAGCACACCTTGCGCAGGAAAAAAACAAATTCCAGCACCCAACGAAAGGTCGAAAGCCCCTGCCGACGGAGCGGCGCAAACGCCGCGGCAGGTGAGAGCCCGTACCTTGCACAGATCGGCGAACCTCTCCTCTGTGGAGGCCGCGGCGGAGGAGGCCCTATCCGTGACCCCCGACCCCGACCCCGAGCTCGTGGACGGCTTGGCGACTCCCTCCATGTCCCTCCTTCCAAGCACTGCCAATCCAGGCCCCGAAACCGCTGCCGCGACAAGAACCAGGCTCTCCGGCGACCGGAGGGAAGGCGGAGGGGGAGCTCTGTTAGGTTGGGCGGCGGTGGTGGTGGACGAGCGACAGGGAACCGGAAACGGCGGCGGCTGTTGAGATGCGCGCCAAAAAAGAGTTTCGGACCCAAGCGGCGCGCGCCGACTTATTATATCTGCGGGGTAGCTTGCGCGGAAAAACACTAGCCCGCCTGTCTCGCTGCGCGGTGGGCCCGGTCCTGGCGGGCGGGAGAGGGGAGGGCGTCGGTTGGTTTTGGCGGGAGAGGCGTCGAGATGGCGGGAGATTTTGGTGGGAAGGGATAGGGTTGGGAAGCGGGTCCGGGTGGCCCACGTGGCAGGTCGGGTTGTCGGGATGCGGGACGCGACCACGTGCGCCGGGCGGCTGCGGCGGGCGGGTCCCACCGGGCCAGGGGTAGAATCGTCCGAGGGAAAAAAGGTTGTGCTTGATGCTGATGGCATGCGCTGAAACAGTGAAACGTGCACAGTACGAGTCACAGCAAAATGCTAATTGCCAATGTGCGATGGACCTGCTACAGTGCTACCCTAGTGTTAGAGTTTTTTGCTCTTAGCTGTTACTGTCCATAAAAAATGCTATCTTATTTTGTTAATGAGTCATGGAATTTAAATTTGACTATATTTAGACCCTATTTGATTTCCAATAACAAGAAAAGTAAGATAGAAAAATGAGAATGGGATCCAAATACTTGGATATAATCCAACTATCTATCTCAAACCTATTATTCCGAGATTTTCACTATGCAAAAACAATAATCACTGTGACAATAAGATCCAAACACGTCTCGTTTTTTTATCTGTAATCCAGATTATCTGTTCAGCTGATGGTTTCTGTGGCTGATAGGCCGGCTGAAACTGATTTTTTGTGAGAGAAAAATACTATACCATAGCTGATAAGTTCAAGCGAATAGAGTAGTTTCTCTTTATGAGAATGAGATCCAATTTCCAAAATAGTCCCCTACAAGGAAAATAGTATCAACATTTCACTGTGAAAAATGAGATCTAAAATAATTCCTTATAGGAAAAATAATATCAACATCTCTATCTCCAAACAAACTAAGCGCAATCCAGATAGCTAGGTTCCATGTGGTAGAATTGTTCACCCAGGTTCGTGTTCTCGAGCTTGCATTTTCCTAGACACGTGCCCCTCGACAACGAGGCATCCCTGATAATTTTGTCAACTTCGAGACCTATCACAACTTTTCCCACTTTTAGTGTGATCCGCCTAATCCCTCTCACCTTCACATGTCTTATAAAATGGCAAGTCATTTGCCACCCTCCTTAAATATACTTGTCGGGGACCAATACCAGGGTACCTGAAGAGGAGCTAATAATCATCAACATTGATTCGTCCGAGCAGTCAAGAGCGCGACTACAGCTCCGACCGACCCCCAGGTGCGCAAACTCCGCCTCGCCCAACCCCTGAGGGTTGGCTCCGCCTCGCCCGACACCGAGGCCACGAGCTTCGCCTCGTCCAACCCCTGAGGGTTGGCTCCGCCTCGCCCGACACTGAGGCCATGGGCTCCGCCTCGTCCGACTCCAGAGGGTTGGCTCCGCCTCGCCCGACACCGAGGCCGCGGACTCCTCCTCGTTCGACCCCTAAGGGTTGGCTCCGCCTCGCCCGACACCGAGGCTGCGGGCTCCGCCTTGCACGACACCAAGGCTGTGGGGCTCCACCTTGCCCGACCCCTGAGGGTGGCTCTGCCTCGCCCGACACCGAGGTCATGGGTTCTGCCTCGCCAGACCCCTGAGGGCTTGCTCCGCCTCACCGACACCAAGGCCGCGGGCTCCACCTCGCCCGACACCGAGGCCACAGGCTTCGCCTCGTCCAACCCTTGGGTTTGGGCTCTGCCTCGCCCAACATCGAGGCCACAGGCTCTGTCTCGCCTGACCCCTGAGGGTGGCCCCGCCTCGCCCGACATCGAGGTAGGTAGGGCTTCGACTCGCCTGACCCCTGAGGGTTGGCTCCGCCTTGCCCGACACTGAGGCCGCGGGCTTCGCCTCGCTCGACCTCTAAGGGCTGGCTCCGCCTTGCCCAACCCTTGGGTTTGGGCTCTGCCTCGCCCGAGCTTTGGGTTTACACTTCGCCTCACCCAACCTCTGGGGAGGAACTCCACCTCGCTCGACCCCGAGGTCGGGGGCTCTATCTCGCCCAACGGAGACCCATACCGTCGTCGACCACTCCAGGTCCAAGCGTATGGGCCTGGGTCAAAGCTCTAACACCAGGGAGGTGACTAGCATGCCCCAATATAACCAGTGGCCATGACGGGCCATACTTGAGGATTCACATCAAGAACAGTATCGGGCGAACCAATGTTGTTCTGTCTAACCCTCGTACAAACACTAACATGCGCGTCAGTTCACCAAGACGTCTGCCAGGACGGAGTGGAGCCCCATGACCGGGATACGACGCCTGCGCATGGCCCCAATGATGGATAGGGCCATGATGTGAAGCTATCCCTGTTGACATCTACAGGGTCGGCGAGAACCGCATAGAAGAGAAGAAGGACCCGACGATCCTGGAGGACTTCTTCTCTTCTGATTCTCTCTTTTTCCCCCCACTGTAACACGTGTTTTCCCTTGGCCTATAAAAGGAAAAGCAGGGCGTCCCATTAGGGGATATCGAACAAACGATCGCAACACATCGCATCAAACCATCGGACTCGAATCTGATCGATCCATCAAACCCCAAACACACAGCCAAGCAGCGATCGAGCTCTCGGCACCCATTCGTTCCTTCCGCCAAAGACTTGGGACATGTCCCTCTCTCAACTGTTTGTAACCCCTACTACGAACTTTTAGTGCTAGTAACACGAGCAGCAGCAACAAACTAGACGTAGAGACATTCTGCCCGAACTAGTATAAACCTCGTGTCCTCTTAGCACACCATCCGAGTCAGACGCGCAATATTAGAAATTTACTTGTTGGTGGCAACTCGAAACACCGACAGTTGGTGTGCCAGGTAGGGGTCTTTTGCGCGTCTCAACATCCATACCAGGCCTCGGATGTCTAGTTACAACCTTAGCTAGGTCCCGGGCGCGCACGTGTGCTTTGGGGACCTGGACTTCATCGTTAAGACGGAGGGAGAGTTGGCGATGGCTCCCACCGTCGTCCGACCTCTCCACTCCGCCAGCCTCGACGCGATCGCCGAGGCGCTTGAAGAGCTACAGCTGCACGCACCGGAGGCCCACGCCCCCGGGAGCAACTAGCTCCTCGACTTCAACTACGGGATGTTAGAGCGCCTTCTTGGGACCCTGGCCATCCCGGGAAGACATGTGCCACCTCACCTTCTCCTTCGCTAATGTCATGGCATAACTTGCTAGAGGGGAGCCACTCTCTCTGACATACCTCATCCGGAGCGCCCCAACAGCGCTCCCATTCGGTCTCCGCAACATCGCAAAGACCGATGGCCACCTTGTGGCACGACGCACGCCTCTGTCCCCCACGAACGATGAGTTCATGGGGATGACCAAATATGTCGTGGAGTCTTTCCATGACCTCCTCGCGGGAGAATTAGAGTCACCCTCTAGCTCTGACTCTAGCAGGAGGAGCCATCACCCCTCTCGTGAGTGTTTCATGGCGGGTACCCCCGAGGGACACGTCAAAAGCATCCACGAGAAGAAGGCTACCCCGACGAACGATCTCGATGATGAGGTCGAGGGGGGACATGGGCCCTACCCTGCCTACGGGTGGATGAAAGCTCTAGTTTGGTTTTGGTGAATTGATGAAACCCTAAGTGCTAACCTAGTTTATCAAGTGATCATGAGATAGGTAGCACACTCCAAGTGGTGAAGCAAATGAAGATCATAGCATGATAAAGATGATGGCATGGTGATGATCAAGTGCCTCGACTTGGAAAGAAGAAAGAGAAAAACAAAAAGCTCAAGGCAAAGGTATAATTTGTAAGAGCTATTTTGTTTTAGTGATCAAGACACTTAGAGAGTGTGATCACATTTAGGATTGATAGCCGTACTATTAAGAGGGGTGAAACTCGTATCGAAATGCGGTTATCAAAGTGCCACTAGATGCTCTAACTCATTGCATATGCATTTAGGATCTAGTGGAGTGCTAACACCCTTGAAAATATTTGTGAAAATATGCTAACACATGTGCACAAGGTGTTTGTAGGGTTGAGATGGGTTTGGGTCGGATTCGGCGCTTTCAGGAAAATGAAATGTCCATTTTCTATTGCGCCGGATGCAAAATTTCTTGGTGGTTGGCACACTTGAGCAAGGGTGAAGAAGTAAGAGTTGAAATGGAGTTGATCGAAATGATCTTTGGCGTCGGTCCGATGGACCGGACCTTTTGAATCAGCTCCGAACGCCGTTGCCGCTGCGTCGGTCCGTCACTTCAATGATCTGATGGCTAGGGTTGGGTTGAGAGCACGGACTGGCTGCGTCCGGTCAAAATGTGGACGGACGCGTCCGGTCGAAAAATCATGCCTCGGGAGCTTATCGGAAGCGCCGGACGGCTGGGGCTTCAGCGTCTCGTCGGGATTTCGGGAGCGTCCGGTCACCTTCATGACCGTTGAAATCGGACGAAACGGCGTTTGAAGCTGGTGGCGCGCGTGGCGTCCATCCAGGCGACCGGACGCCGAGGGCCAGCGTCCGGTCGATATGACCGAAGCGTCCGGTCGAGCAGCGTTTTGCCCAATGAAGGGGTATAACGGCTCTATTTGATTGGGGCTCTATATATAGCCCCATGGCGGCTCAAGGAGCTCTCTTGCACATTTTCATTGACATAGCAACCTTGTGAGCCTAGCTAAAGTTCTCCCACTCATTTCCATCATAGATTAAACTTCTTTGTGAGATTGGGAGAGAATCCAAGTGCATTGCTTGAGTGATTGCATCTAGAGGCACTTGGTGATTGTGTTTCATTGCGGATTTCGCTTGTTACTCTTGGTGGTTGCCGCCACCTAGGCG